TTTGCATGACTCACTATATGCATACACAGTTAGTAACTTCAAGAAAGGGTTATGTTTCACTGTTAATCACTCTGTTATTTGCTGTCCCTGTTTACAAATAATGGCTTCATGTATCTTACTATTAATTTATTGTTTTACCCCACCATTTTACTAGCAAGTGTTATATTCATCTCATAAGTAGTGGGGGAACTTGCTCTCTGTCTTGAGGGACTATTTCATCTCTATGTAAATAATGGGTGCTAAAACCCTGCAAAAGATAAATACAGCTTCCTTGGATTCATGGCCTGATCTTACCCTCCCAATCTAAGGCCAGCCTGCAGTCAGAACTTCATAACACCATCCAGACACACCACGCACCCATCCATCATCCACCCAATCATTCATCATCCATCCATCCACCCATCCATCGTCTACCCAATCATTCATCATCTATCCATCCATCTTCCATCCATTCAGCCAGCCAGCCAGCCAGCCAGTTTTTCAAAATTTTCCAAATATGTATCCAGCACCAAACACGTGATGAGCACGAAGAACCTGAGGATAAACAACATGATCTCTACTCTGAAACTTGTAGTCCCGTGTAAAAAAAAAAAAAAAAAAAAAAGGTTTGCTGATACAGTGTTCTGGAAACACTGACCAGACCACCAGGGCAGTAGTCATTTTTCAGCAACCACCGGGTATTCTGAGTAGAAGTCTACGGAAAGTACTCTGGGATCACAGAGAAGCAACACAGGACTTGAACTAGATTGTGCAGAGACTCTCTCAGGCAAAGGTGGCCCAGGTGCTGAAGCAGAGGTGTGAGTTCAGCTGGCCAGAGCAGAAGCCGGACACCTGGGGAATGAAGCCACCAAGAGAAAGCACCGCCGGTCAGTCCAGCAGCTCTGGGAAATGAAATGCTACAGTTGTTCCCACAGTTGTCTGCCCCCATGCCTTCATTCTCCCTTCTTTCACCAACTTCCACTGCACTGAGTTTTTCCGCATCCAGGGGATGCCAAGCATAGTGTCCTCTGTGCTCTTGGTTCTTCCCCACACCTACCCCCAGTGTCCTATAGAGAACCTTTGTCATGCTGAAGGAAACTAATTTCTCCTCTATTCAGCTCCCTCACTAGGCCATGGGTGTCTCCAAGGGAACCCCAAGCTCCGAGTCTTCTGTGGGAAGCTGGGAGGTGCACAAGCTTCTTGGGCAGATTAAAGTGACTCTGCATAAATGAATGTGCACAAGACCTCTCAGAGCTGACCATTTGGTGCTGGGTAGCCAACTGGTGTGCTCTTCCCCCCCGGGAAGACTGTGTCTTCCTCTCGACATTCCTTGGTTTCTTGTGGTTCTTTGTGTAGCGTTGGGTCCTCCTGAACTTTGCCCCATCCATGTTAGCGTGTCTGTTGTCATTGTTGGCCTTGTCCAGCTCATGTTTAGTCTCATGTTGGTGAGACTTTATGGGTGTGACTTCTGACATTACGGTCTCACAGCAAACTCCAGGATCCCCTCTGGCTCTTACCGTCCTTCCATTCCTTCTTCTGCAATGATCCCAGAGCCTTCAGTGAATCAGATGTGTATAGGTGTAGCATTGGGACTGTGCTCCACACCTCTGCATTCGATTGATTGTAGTTTTCTGTAGTGATCCGTTTGTTGCAGAGAGAAGTGTACATAATGATACTTATAAGGACAAGTGTTTAGGATGTAGTTAGGGATTATGCTGTCTTAATAATGTGGTGGTTGTAGATGACCCCCTCACGGTCCATGACTTCACGAGCCCTGGGGAGTTGCCTAGGTTTCCAGTAACAGGCATGATTTCTTCTTCTTGAGTGGGTCTTAAGTTTGAATAGGGAGCTATTGCTTACTGCCTATGTATATGTGCCCCTAAGAAACCATTAGGATTATTGTAACTTGATGGTCATTGTGGTGGTTCCCAATGTTAAGCCCTGAAAACATACGTGTAACTTAGGTTATACAGACTGAGCATTTTATACTTATGTATTTAGGTGTGTGTGTGTATAAAACAATTAGTGCAAAAAGAGACTATGAATTTGAAAGAGAACAGGGAGAAGATATGAGAAGGTTTAGAGTGAGGAAAGAGAAGGGGGAAATGATATAATTTTATTATAACTTCAAGAAGTAAAAGAAAAAATTTAAAAGACCTCTCACTCTTGGGACATGTTAAAGATGGTAGAGGCTTCATATACTATAAACTCATTTATGTGCATGTGTAGGGACTCCTAAAGTCTGATACCACAAATTCGGTTCTCCTCATCTTTTATTTACAAAAGACTGTTTTTGACTTGTAGGCAATATTCTTTCGCTAACTTTGAAAGGTCTTGGCATTGGAACTTCCTTGTTCATACAAATGAAAATCTGGCCCAGAGACAAGGCACACACTTTCCCTAGGACACAGATGTCTGTCCTCGTCCATCATCCACTTAACCCATGCTTCCACTTCTGAAAAGCCTTTCACTAAAAACAAAATTAATTTTTAATTCTCCTTTTCCTTTGGGAACATTGTGCCAACTTTTCGTTTTCTGAACACAGGCTCCAAGAATGGGACCTGATTGCCAAGTTTGTCATTAAAGAACAGTCTCGTGTGATTTGTCTGTCCTGTTATCTTTCATGTGAAAGCCATACTATTTAAGAATCTCCATGAGACACAGAACTACACAAGGATGAGGGTGTCGCCTAGGAAAAGGGTTTGCTGATAAATGGTTCTGGAAACACTGACCAGACCACCAGGGCGGTAGTCATTTTTCAGCAAGACTTAAACCCTCCTAAAGGATTGTTCATAGAACTTCCTGAGGCCCGTATATGATGCAAAGACGGTCCATGTCACAATTTTAGTTGAATGGACTTATTTTCAGTTGTTAAAGTTTAGTATGTTGACCTCCTTCGTCCTTCATGCAAAATTCAACCAGTGTGAGAACAAAGGGGAGCGTCATCCTCAGATGGCTCTGTGTGTGTATGTGTGTGTGTGTGTGTGTATCATGTATATGTGTGTCTGTGTGTGAATGTCTATGCATGTGTGTGTATTGTGTATATGTGTGTCGTGTGTGAATGTCTATGTGTGTCTGTGTGTGAATGTCTATGTGTGTCTGTGTGTATCATGGATATGTATGGCCGTGTGTGAATGTCTATGCATGTGTGTGTGTATTGTGCATATGCGTGTCTGTGTGTGAATGTCTATGTGTGTCTGTGTGTGAATGTCTATGCATGTGTGTATTGTGTATATGTGTGTCTGTGTGTGAATGTCTATGTGTGTCTGTGTGAATGTCTATGTGTGTCTGTGTGAATGTCTATGTGTGTCTGTGTGTATCATGGATATGTATATCCGTGTGTGAATGTCTATGCATGTGTGTGTGTATTGTGCATATGTGTGTCTGTGTGTGAATGTCTATGTGTGTGCGACTGTGTGTGTGTGTATGATGCCTGAAACACTGTTACCAGAGTTCTTTATGTAGCGTTCCTTTTCTTCCCTCTGGCCCCCTTGTCTGTCACCTTCTCTCTCCCATAGCCATCAGTTGTGTAAGCTTGTTCGCAGGTCTGTGGTGGTTTGAATGAGAATACTCCCCATGGGTTCATATGCTTGATCCCCAGTTGCTTGAACTGTTTGGGAAGGAATAGGAGACGTGACCTTGTTGGAGGGGGTGTGTACTGGGGGCGGGCTTAGAAGTTTCCAAAGCCCATAGCATTCACAGTTAGTTCCCTCTGCCTCGTGCTTGTGGACAAATGTGTGAGCTCTCAGCTGTTCCAGCACCATGCCCCTGCCTGCTCCCACCATCCCTAATGATGGCCACATGCTCTCACCCTCTGAAACTAAAAGCCCCCCCAAAAGCACTCTCTTCCAGTTTCTTGATCGTGGTGTTTTGTCACCGAGAAAAGTAACGGAGACAAGATCTATGCTAGTATTTATTAGCGTTTTTAAATTAACCAACTGTCATTTCAAAGAAGAATTTTATCATCTCCTGTCATGTCGCGCTGATTTAATATCCCAGCGAGGACACAATCCATGCATTTGATGCTGACTCCCTAGCGCAGCCCTGGGGCCCTTCACCAATAAACCCCCGCACCAGTAGTCCAGCTCTGCACTGCCTTCTACCTAGCAGTGCCCGCTAGTCCTCCGATAGCATGCTGTGTACGACCTCCTTGTTCCCACTCCTCCAGTCTTCTCCAGCCTGGCATCTCACCCTCCTAACTTACTGCCTGTCCATGCTGGCCCAGGGCCATGCAAAGGGCAGCGTCTGACTCTGACTCAAAAAGTACACTGTCTCCAAGCCGACTGCATCTCTGAGCCAATGCGGTTTTCTGTGCCTACTTATCTGCTATGATTGATGATTGATTGATTGATTGATTGATTGATTGAATGCCGTGGAGTATTCTCCACACAGATGAACAGAGGCTATCACTCTCTGATTTATAAATGAGGAAATGAAGCCCTTTGAGGCTCCTTCCTGCACAGGTTTACACGGTGAGAGGAGAGCAGCGCATGGGAGGCCATTTTGACGAGAATAAAACCCCAGTGATTGAAGCGGAAGTAACTGAGAGAACTTGAACGTGTGAAACCGTGACTCTTGAGTTCCTGAACCGTCTTGATGCTGAGACGGAGGGCACGGGGAAGAAACGGCAGAGCTCTCATGACTGGAATGACACACTGGGACAGTGGCGCGAAGGACAGTCACTCGCCAAAGAGTTGTGAGGGGCACCGGAACCCTTCATTCGGTTCCACCAAGATGACGTTGCGCTCGCTGTGTGATTCTTCACCTTCTTATTGAGTTTGAGCTTGATTAAAAAATAGCGGACGTGATCTGCCACATTCAGCTGCATTTGTTAGAACACAGAGACTCACCCTGGGTGGTCCTTTAACTGCCTTTACTTTCATTGAGAAGAAAACCCTGGCTGATGATAATGGGGGAAGCGTCCAAAGTTCCACACCATGCAATGTAGTGTTTTCTGCACTTGAGAATTGTGAGCGCTTTGGAAATAATGTCTGTTTTCACAATTTTCTGTTCTCTACTAGGTTCTTGGAACACCAAATGAGGACACCTGGCCAGGAGTTCATTCTTTACCACATTTTAAGCCAGGTATGTTTCATTAATCGCAAGTGCTAAGTGCTTCCTGCGTGTAAAAGGTGGCTCTATAAGTGTCCATGTTCATGCAACAGATGGCCTGGAGACACGTTTGCCATTGTGCATTTTATGTTTTAATGGAGCTGTCTTTTATTTGCACAACTCACTTTTTAAAAATAAAGCTCACTGCCCCTCCACCATGAGAGGGTCTCACCGTGCAAACTATGTTTGATTTGACTAATGATCTTGTAGTCACTACTGATTTCATTGTCTATGAGACATATGTCCCTGCTTATGAAAGCAAAATTTAACTGGCAAGATGGCAATGTAATGGTAAAAAATTTACTGCACTATCCTAAGGACCTGAAAACCAATTCCCAGCAACCAGGAAAAAAGCTGGGCTGGTGACTGTTGCCTGTAATTCCAGTCCTGGGCAAATAGAAAAAGGCAGATTCCTGAGAACATCCTGACTGTTAAGTCTAGATTAATTTGTGAGATCCAGGTTCAGTGAGAGACTCTGTCTCAAACTAAGGTGGAGAGACATTGAAGAAGAGATCAAAAATAATCACACACACACACACACACACAGAGACAGACAGACAGACAGAGACAGAGAAAAAGAGAGACAGAGACAGAGAGAGACACACGAGAGAAGCAAAATTTACATTGGAACAACACAACTCATATATATCACTACTTTTGAATAATACTAAGAAGTTGTAGTAAATTATTTAAAAAAGACCCTACAGTTTTCCTTTCTTGACTTACATTAAGAATATATGGTCAAATAATTTGAACTTAATTATATGAATTGTTCTGATTCTTCAATTGTGTATGTAGCATTTGATATTTCAGTGGAAATTATTTAGGCCTCTGAACTGGAGGCCTTTGAGAATGCAGTTATTTCAAAAATAAGTTGTCACCTTTACACTTACCAGTAGATGGCAGTGGTGAAACTTTCAGTTTTAATAATCACAAGAAAATCTGACAGGATGTGTGCTTCATTTTTATTGAAGGAATGAAAGATCTGCAGTTGGAAATTGAATAAAGTGGGGAAAATGAATTATTGTAAAGTGATTCTCTTGTTTTGGGGGGATTATAAAACGTGGTCCATGAAATGTAGCCCCGACATGGAGTTTCTGAAGGAATTGTACAGAGGACCTGATGTTTGCTGATCTCTCAGAGGCAGAGCTCTGAGTAGTTTACTGAGGGAGCCAGGTATCTTCTGCTGCTCTTCTCCTCTTTGGAGACTCCAGATTTAATTACCAATTTCAAAGGATGAATGAGCTGGGGAACTATTTTTATTCTTCACATTTTTCTTCTGAAAGTGTACAGTGAAAATTCTTTTATCTTGCTCAGAAGCCCCAAAAGCCTTTTGTACTTTTACTGAAAATTATACAAGAATTCTATGCTCAGAAAAATTTCTAGAAACACAGCAATTTATTATAATAGGCTGTTTTTATTAATTAAGCAAGAAGCATCTTGTAACCAGTGTACTTATTCCTAGTGGAGTTTAAGTCAAGAAGACAACACTTTTTCTTTTTCTTTAAATTAGAAGCAATCTTCTTTTACATGTCAATCTCAGATCCCTCTCCCTCTCCTCCTCCCCTGACCCCCTATCCTGTCCCCTATCTGCTTCCCAGGGAGGGTGAGGCCTTCCATGGGGGATCATCAAAGTCTGTCACATCATTTGGAGCAGGGCTTAGACCCTTCCCCATGTGTCTAGGCTGAGAGAGTATCCCTCCATGGGGAATGGGCTTCCAAAATCTGTTTGTGCACTAGGGATAAATATTGATCCATTACCAGAGGCCCCATAGATTTCCCAGGCCTCCTAACTGACACCCATGTTCAGCTAGGGTCGGTCCATTTTATAAGTGTTACAAGCTCTTACAGTTAGCAATCTTGTTAGGACATACAATTTTAAGAAAATAAAGTAGAAGATCCTGAGATGCTAGAGTTTAGCTCACTGGCAGAACCCTGTCCTAGCATTTACCAAAACAAAAATGAAGATTTTAAATGAACAAAGTTATATACATAAAGGACTGATTAATATAGTAATTTCACCTGCCAAGCGTCTAGACTGGAAACATGGAGTAATTTGTCTATTTTTGGTGTGAATAGAGCTCATTTTTGTCAAGAATACATGCAAGCACTTTAGAGTTTCTAGTATAAGATGTTCAACAAGTTGACTTAGCAGATAGTGAACTTCAGGATACCTATGCACAGTGCATACCTGGCATTCAGAACTTAGCTGCTGCTCTGAGTTATATTGAATATTTAAAAGCAGTCTTACTCATGAGATTCCTCTGGTAGAAATATATAAGCTAGATAGAGGAGATATATTAAATACTGTGTGAGCACTTCAACAGACACGTAGTCAGTGTATTGGGAGTCCAGAAGAACAACGCATCTAGATGGTATAAGGCTGGACTAGGAGAGACAAGATTATAAACTGAGGGGAGACACACCCTCAAGGACTTCCACACAGTGCGCAGTCAGGCCATCAAGGAGTCTTGGTTACGGACTTCACAGATCTGATCCCCCAAGGGAACTAAACACATAGCCCAAAGCACGGGAGCAGTCTAGGGTCATCTGTCCTGCCCTATAACCCCACCTCCATATTCTATCTCCCAAAGAGGGCTATAGAGATTCTGAAAGGGGAGAAGGAAAGCTACACAGACATGCTTTCTTTAATACAAAAAATTGTGTCTGTGTCTCTGTGTATGTATGTGTATCTCTGTGCGTGCGTGTGTGTGTGTGTGTGTGTGTGTGTGTTTCACTGTGTGTGTCTTGTGTATGTGTGTGTGTCTATATATGTGTGTGTATCTCTGTGTGTGTGTGTGTACTCCATGGTGCACATGTGGAGATCAGAGGGTAACTTGCAGATAGTTGCTGTCTCCTTCCACTGTGTGGGTTGCAGAGGTTGAACTCCGGTCATCCGTCTTGGTCGCAAATCCTTTTACCCACCGAGCCATCTCCTTGGCTCTTTTCTTTAAGCATTTTGGAAATGAAGAAATACAATAGTGCAAAGCTTTCTCCTTGCTCCAACTCCCATCTGCCAGCTTCTGCAGAAACCACTGCCCTCCGTGACACCAGGCTCCCTCTCTAATATCGTAGCTGTTTCTTTCCTTTATGTAAATGTAGCAAATTATGAATATGTTTACTGTATTTTTCCTACACAAACTACAGTTGTGTCTTGTTTTCCTCACTAGTGTATCTGTATCCTCTAGGTTTTTACGTGTCACACATGTCACTGCACGTAAATCGGTGTGGCTTCCCTCTTGTCCCTGAGTACTACATTGTTTTCTGTTGAGCAGATCTAACCTGCTCTCTAACTGTGGGCATTTGGGCTGTCTTCAGTATGTCACTATTAGAAGTGTTAATGCAGTGACAGCTTCATCTAAACAGTAACTTGAGAGAAAATGAGCTAAAGAGCCAACAAGTATAAACAGTTGTGATTTCTAACACTTCTATCAGTCTAAAGCAGTGGTCTCTTCTCTCTGTGTTGGCAATGCATGCCGTGCTGCCCTAAGTCTTCTCTGCTTTGGACGTGTGGCCAGACTTAACCAGTCGACTGCCGAAAGGAATCTCACTTTAATGTTGGTTTGTGTACTTCCTCTCATGTGAGGCTGGGCATTTAGTCATCTGTTTCAGCTTTTCCTTCCTGTGAACTATTTATGACTTTCGCTCAATTTATAGTTAAAAATTGTGGGTCACCTCTCTATTAATTTCTAGGAGTTTTTATTATTTAGAGTAATTTCTCTTTTATCTATGAAAGCCTTTGTTTTTCTGGATATAACTGCATAAGAGGCTTTTATTCAATTTTTATTAACTTCATTACCAAAAATGTTGCACAAAAATACCATACACTGAAATTAGCCAGACCTGAGGACTGTACAATTCAATAAATACAGTTAGGCTAGCTATTCAGGATAGATGCTATGAAGATTCTTGACACTGGATTTTATACTTTCACTATCAAAACATTATTATGCATTTATCTACTACAAAACCAAAAATCCCATGACAGAATTAGAACTATAAAATAATGACCTTATAGCCCCTTTCATAACTCCTGTTTATTACCTGTATTTAGTCCTTCCTCATCCCCTAATATGTAGCCTTTTTTTGTCCTCTCTTCCAAGTGTTGTACTCTTCTCTCTCTCTCTCTCTCTCTCTCTCTCTCTCTCTCTCTCTCTCTCTCTCTCTCTCTCTCTCTCTCTGTCTCTCTCTCTTTCTCTCTCTCTCTCACACACACACACAATTTGGCTAGATTCCACATCTTTTTTATATGTTACCTAGATAAATACTATATACTCTAAATACATCCATTTTCCTGAAAATTTTGAGTGCGTTTTTCTTTAGCACTAAATAATATTCATTCAATTCACACACACACATAAAAACGTGTCTGTGTACATATTTATATATTAGGTAGGTAGATACATAGATTTATAGATTGAGTTTTCATTATCCATCCATCTGTTGACTAACTACTGATCCCAGTTATTTTCTGTAGTGAATACAGCAGCAGTAAACATGGGTGCAAGTGTCTCTACAGGAGGATATGTAGTTCTCTGGGTGTATATGCAGGTGCGAAATGATGGGGTAGAGTAAGGCAGTTCTGTCTTTAATTTTCTGAGACCTCTCCAAACTGGCTTCCCCAATGGCTGCATAGCCTTGCATCTCCATCTCGAGTGAATAAGAGTCCTGGAGTGACCACTGGCACCTCGGAAACTCTACTCCCATAGTGACTTCTGAGACCACTCAGAAACCCTATACCCACAATGACTTCAGAGACCACTCAGAACCCCTCGTCCCATAGTGACTTCTGAGGCCACTCAAAACCCCTAGTCCCATAGTGACTTCTGAGACCACTCAGAAACACTATACCCACAATGACATCAGAGACAACTAGAATCAATGCCTCAGACTCTCACAGGACACTGAGCACTGGAACTGAAGTGTGGGCCTGGTGCTGATATCTGAGACCACTGGACTAGAGTCCTGGTCAC